ATCTATATCCAATTTTATTTCAGACAAAATTCACCCAAACTGACAATAAACTACATTCGCTTCTTTTTGTTTAGTTTGACCTATTTATTACTTTCCTGGTCCAATTGTAGTTAAATACACTTCTATATCTTGCATTTTACTGTGTAAATCTACTAATTTTTGCAACTTTACAATTTAGAATAGACTACTAAATAAGAAAAATAATTATCTTCTCAATTATTACTCAATTATACCTACATACTTACCATAAATCTTTATTGTAATAGGCACTTGCTTGCAAATCCTTTAAAACACTTGCATGAATTTTCGTTTATTATTAGCATTATTTTTGTTCCAATAAATCGAAGTCACAGTTATCACGTTCCCGAGTGGGTAGGGGTCCGTTACTGTTGAATATTGATATACTTAGGGAGTGACAAGGGCGATACGTCAATTAGACAAGCTAAGTTAACTGCACACTGGTTTACTGAGACAGCGACCGTTCGGCGGGGGACGCAGCCCGCACACCCTTACACACCTAGACATACACAACATCCCTCCACCTTATAGCTAACATAATATACAAAATCAATAAGTACAAAAAAATATGGAAACATTTTCCAAGCTATGACAACATAGATCACGTAGAGAAACGTCAGCCTCCATCTAGGTATCCTCGTGTTCCGATGTCGGCGTAGAGAATATCGGACTTATAGCTTGTCTTCTTCGAGGAGGGGCGCTAGCACGGACCGGAGTCTTCGGGTACTCCCTAATACCGCTTGCCAGGTCAGGTTCCGTTATGACCCGTCCTTCCCCCTCCTACATCAGCTGTGGTTCCAGGCTGGACTCCGTCGCTAAAAGCTGTAGCGGTCAGCTCGTCGGGCACCACATCCGGATCCCATCGCCGGTCATCTCTAACCGGTGAGTATAACCGTGCTCTTAACTGATCGACATGTCTCGTGACTTCGCAGTTGTATTGAGGTACTTATATTCTATACATTACGTTTCCAACCTTTCTTTTCACTATGCCTTCGATCCAACAGAATTTTTATTGTCCATATTTTTTGTTGCTTGTCATTATTTCTTAATTCTGATCTTTGTGTTCCTTTATAATTATGGGCCTGTAATAACTGATTATGTTCCACTGTTTTAACGAGGTCTGTGGACGCGGGAGACGACGCTAGTGGGTTTAATAAATCTACCCGTGAACGTAACGCGCGCCCGTAGACGAGTTCTGCTGGTGACTTGTTCGTGGTACTTTTTTTTAGAGTTCCTATAGTCAAATAAAAATTTTGATATTTTTTCTTGAACAATTTTTTAATTTACGCTTTGTAAAATAATACCCTTAAGGCCCCGTTTAACAATTTTAACAAAACTTTCTGCTTGTCCGTTACTACTTGGATGATACACCGGGGATAATATGTGTTTTATACCGTTTTGTACACAAAAATTCTTAAACTCCTGATACGTGAAAGAGGTGCCATTGTCACTCACCAACGTATGAGGTACTCCGAAACGGGACATAAAATCGTATAATCTATTAATAACAGCTTTGGAATTATAAGAAGTGTTCATATTATAACATTCAACCCATTTACTGTAAGCGTCTACAATAATCAAATACATAAAATTGTTGAATGGACCTAGAAATTCGAGATGGACTCGATGAAATGCATGCGGTGGCAAGGGCCAGGGAGCGAGGGGTGCGTGCGGCGGCGCGGGCCGCAGCGCTGCGCAGCGCTGCAAGCGCCTGCCAGCTGCTCCAGCACCGCATCAACCCCGGGGAACCATAAACTTTTACCTGCCTCCGCTTTCATTTTAACCACCCCGAAATGAGAACTATGCAATTCCTTACATATCAACTCTTGAAGTGATGCGGGAATCACAACTTTATGGCCGTGCATTAAGACACCGTTTTCATAAGATAGTTGATATCTACAATTGTAAAAGGGTTTTAAATCTAAATCATTATTTTTTCTTGGCCACCCATGTAAAGCGTAGTGCTTAACGCGACACAGAACCGCGTCGTTGCTCGTCTCGCGCTGTAAATGTCTCAGCGTCACTAACTACGAAATTAACATAGGCAGCGCGATCTTCGCACGCCGGGAGCTCGTCTAGCTCACTAGCGGGCGTCCTCATCGACTCGAAGCGCGATATGGATGCAGGGGGACACGCTCTGGACAAGTAATCCGCGCTGTTATGTTTGCTACTGATATATTCGATTTTATAATTATAGGCCGCCAGAAACATTGCATAACGCTGTAGTCGGTTGGCGGTCACCTCGGGAATGCCTTTATGAGGCCCGTATATAGACAATAAAGGCTTATGGTCTGTTCGTAGCGTGAAAGGCGTGGATCGACCATACAAATACTGATGAAAACGTCTAACCCCATAAATAATGGCCGTTGCCTCTTTCTGGATTTGTGCGTACTTCTTTTCAGCAACTGTAAGCGTTCGCGAGGCGTAAGATATGGGTCTTTCTAATCGGTCGTCGCCTATCTGAGACAATACAGCTCCTAACCCTGTTGGAGACGCATCAACTGTTAATATTAACTCGACCTTCGGGTTAAAGTGGGTTAAAATTTTGTCACTAGCGAGATATTTTTTTATTTTTTTAAACGCGTCCATTTAGAATTTTTATTTAATAAGTTGTAGAGGGGACTTAGTATAGATGATGCGTTCGGCACGAAGTTACGATAATAATTCGCTAAACCAAGGAAAGACTGCAATTGTAAGATATTATTCGGCTTAGGCGCTTCGAGAATGGCTTTTACCTTCTCTGGCGAGTTCCTAACCCCAGTTTTGTCTATCACGTGACCCAGATAAGAAATCTCGTCTTTAAAGAACTCACACTTATTCATTTGAACTGTCAATCCTGCGTCGTCTAAACGCTGTAAAACAGCCATAAGCCTTTGTTCGTGTTGAACTTTGCTTTTACCCGTAATTAGAATATCATCTAGCAAAAATATTATTCCCTCAATCCCAGCGAGCAAACACTCCATCGTACGCTGAAAGACAGATGGAGCAGACGCCAGACCAAAGACCAACCGAGTAAAATTAATAAAGACCGCGGTGTGTATTTATACATGTGATTTTCTGTGATTTTTCGCTTAGCACAAACTGATTGTAGGCCATAGATAAATCAATTTTACTAAACTGTACGCCATCGTGTAATTTTGCCAATAAATCGCTTACTGTGGGTAAAGGATACTGGTCTACTATTAACTGTTTACTAATAGTAACCGAATAATCGGCACACAAACGGATGCTACCGTCCTTTTTCAATACCGGCACTAGCGGTGAAGCAGTGTCTGAGTGCTCGACGGGTTTTAAAATGCCTAACGCCAACAAACGATCTATCTCTTTGTCTATTTTTTCCTTAAAAAAAGGGCATATGGTACGGGTCTAAGTCTAGGTCTGAAAAAGATAGGTTTTGCGTCCGGTTTTAGATGTAAATCAACAGTATACTTATTAAATGACCCAAGCTTACTAGAAAAAATATTCGGGAATTTCGAGTATAATTTCTTTAACGTTATTTCGCGGCAATCACCTTGCCCTTGCGCGTATACCGCATGCACACGCTGAGAGCGGCCGCTGCTGGCGACTGGCTGCGCATGCGCTAGTTCTAAGTTAAAAACACGAATGAAGTCCCTGCCCAGAAGCAACGGTCCACCATTGCGCACTACATACACGCTTAGAGTATGCGAGATCTCACTATATTCTATAGGTAATGAAACTAACCCGATGGTTTCTATGTGTTCGCCCGTATAACTTAATAGTTTTTTGTTGGTGGCTGACAATGGAGAATGATTAAATTTAGAAATATAAGTTTTTTCCGAAATTACACTTACTGCCGAACCGCTATCTATTTCGAACTCTAAAGAAAGACCATTTATCATAACGCGTTCCATTATCGGTTTCCCTTTCAAACACCAAATATTGTAAAAACACTCACCGTCGTCGTCTCCTTCGACCAGAGTATCTTCCTCGACATATTTTATTCTGTCATCATAAGCGCACATTTTTCATAAATGACCTTTCCTATTACACTTTTTACACTTGAGATTTTTATAGCGACACTGATTGGAATTATGATTGGCATAACCACACACATTGCACTTTTCCTTCTTGGAGATGTTGAATACCGGACCCGCTCGCACCAACACCACTCTCGCCCGGCGCCGCAACTGATGAAGCGTGACGTGCACAACGCACGCTCTCCGCCAAGTTGATGGCCTTTGCCAGGGTCAACTCCCGCTGATCTTGCGCGAAAAATTTGTCCCGCTCGTGTCCTGCCGCCATGCCCATGATGAATCTGTCCAACAGGGCTTCCTCCAAGTTCTTAAATTCAAAATGTGCCGCCAATTCCCTAATTCTGGCCGCCCACTGAGTGTGATCTTCACCTGGTCGCTGAGTTGCCGTATAGAAAATTGATTTTTCTGCAAACCCCAACCTTTTTGGTGTGAAGTGATCATCGAGGAGCTTAACTATTGCTCCGTAGCTCAACTCTTCCATCTTGCTGGATAACGCCAGGTCATTAGCTAACTTGAACGTCGATTCACTTAGCGCACTCAACAATATCGCTCGCCGCTTTACTGTTGCTTTGTTAGTTTCATTGCTTATGTCGTTCGCGATAAACCACTGATTCAATAGCGATTAATAACTGTTCCATTCGTGCGAAAGATGATCGAATGTTGATATAATGCCAAAAGTTACTCCTATCGACATTTTTAGTGTAAATAAGCGAGTTCGCTCGTCGCCACGTGTTGGATATTGATATACTTAGGGAGTGATAAGGGCGATACGTCAATTAGACAAGCTAGTTAACTGCACACTGGTTTACTGAGACAGCGACCGTTCGGCGGGGGACGCAGCCCGCACACCCTTACACACCTAGACATACACAACAATTACGTAGTCTTTTTCCGGAATCAGGCTGCAGTGTCACGTATTCCTGATGCCCGTGCCGGAATTGGCTCCTATCCATTCCGCGGTGTAGTTCTTTGGGAGAGGTTAGGAGGTTAGATGTCCTTTGTGCTTTGGTTCCTTGTCCTTTGGTCCTTTTTGTTTCTTAATTTAGATGTGAAGGACGCGCTGTGTTGAAACTTTCTTCTTAATGCCCTCATTGGCAGGCACTTCTTGTGTAGGATGTATCCGCCAACAGCAAACAAAACGTCGAATAGGGAGATAAGCAGTATTTCAGACAGATTGAACTTGGGGGATGTAACTTGGGCACTTTCTCCAGAGTTTTGAGCAATAGCTAGGTCTTCTTTATATTGGCCGCTCTGACACATTTTCTTTAATTTATAACCGGATGCGAGAAGCATATCATTGCAAAAAAAAACTATTATGCTCGCTATACCAACGAAAATGGTAATGTTCATTTTAATGTCTGAATTCACTTTTTGTTATTAAAATCTTGATCACTTTTTTTATACGTTCGCCATCTGATGTGTTGGTGATAGTGGTAGGTTAAAAAGCTACCCAGATGTACATACGTTTATTAAAAGAGAAAAGAATACTTAAAACTAGCTTATGTATAGGAGATTCCTATACATTTACGTCGCAAACATTTCGTAAGTCTGATATTTGATGCGACCCACTTTTGTCATATTTGTTAATTCGTTACCAAATCATATTAAATATTATTGCGCATTTATTTCATATTACCATACGTCCCCTGAAAATTACCGTTACATTGCAATAATTAGGACAATTTATTATATTTAAATATTTGTGTGCCAATAAATGGTAGATCATATTATAGGACAGGGAACGCTATTTTCAACATCTTTAACGTATTACTTATGATCAACAAATGAACATATTATTATTGGTTGCGCGGAAAACGAATACTCTCGTTTTTTTGTTCAGTTAGCTAGTAATTAGCCGGTAAATTCTAGGTCGTACGTAGTGCGTCTACTGGAAGGCGCGCTCCGCTTAGATGGAAGTGTAGACGGACGAGGAGGCAAAAGAACTTGCGCCGCCGCCGCTAGTCCAGTTGCAACGCAGTGTTACCAGCCTCGAGGCGTGAGTGGGAGGCAATCAGAGGACCCACCCCAGTAAGTGCTCCTATAAATATTGAGCTGTTTATTTGTCTCTTGTTGTGTTATTTTTTTCCTCGCAGCTCATGTTTGCTCCTGTACAAACGTACCAGCTAAATATAGTAAATTAAGTCTAAGCAAGTGCATTGACCAAACTTGTTACGTGCCACGTCCGCCGTTTTGTTTCGGTTGTAACTAACTACGTGTAATATACAGTCCACTTTAGTCATTCGCGCACCAAAATTTCAGGGTCATTACTCCCGGAATCGAACCCTGGACCCTGTGGCTGCACCAATTATTAAAAATAACCTGATTGCGTGAATGAATGAATAAACTTATTAATATATCGTTCGTAGTGAATAAATAACGCTTTATTAACCTAAATCAATTTTATCTGATAATACTCAGGAGTAACTGATTGTTATTCCGAGTCTGTTATCGGCCTACGTACGAGCATCTCTAACGTATCCAAATTCGTAAGATTCTGTTCAGCAGTTTTAACAATTTGGCACAAGCGTCGGTCGTTTATTTCTGATTTATATACTTGTTTGTAGTGATGCCGATTTTACTATGCAAATATATTGTTTATGACTTCCTATGAAACGTTTTGCTTCATTATTGCCTTTCCTGTCAATAAAATATTACGAAATTTTATAAAGTAAAAGAACAAGGAAAGTAAAAGTAATGACTTTTCACAATAAACATGAATACTATACATTGCATATTACAAATTATATTGCGCGTTATTTCACCACAAAATGACCAAATACGTTAACAGTGTATCGACAATGCCAAAAATATCTACTAGGTACCGCATACTATCATTCCGTGGACATGGTAACAGGCAACAGAGGGAAACGGAGGCAGGAGCTGTGCAGCAGCATCTTTCAAATAACAACTAGAAATAATGAAGTTGCCTAACCGCCCGCCGAGCCTCTATGGGGGAGACCCTTTGTTCAGGAATGAAAATCCATAAAATTAGTTTTATTCAGTAAATGAAATCATACCATCTATATCGCTAGAGTAAACTCAACAAATAACACAAGCAAACAATTGTAAAATAAAATAAATTAGTTTCAAAAAAAAAACGACTTTTATTCCACGCCAAATAAGTTAAACAATATAATTTGCATTTTATAAAACGAAAGTGAAACATTTAATTTTAGATTGTAATTCATTAATTTACTTATTTAATAACAATAATTGTTGAATTTGATTAGGTTAATTAATGCTATAACTCTTAGTATGATTATTACTTTTAAAATGTCTGTTTAAAGTTTATTAAGCATAAATTTATATTAGTATTATTTATTCATTGTGAGTATTTGATTAAATACATAAATTTTAAGTGACTATTTTTAAATGGATGGACAATAAAATAAGACTTAAATTAATTGAAAATTGATAAAATATTTTATTTCTCATTTATTGAGGATTACGTGTCACGTTGTTTGTCCGCGATAGACTCCTAAACTACTTAACCGATTTTAATCAAATTTATACACGGTGTGCAGTTTGGTCCAACTTGAGAGATACGATAGCTTTTTTTGCCCATGAGTGACCCACAATTTTTTTGTGAATTTAAGGATTTTTAATAGGACATGACAAAAGGTTGTCGAAAAAGGCAGAACAACGTCTGCCTAGCAAGCGATTGCATTTTGTGCAATTTTCAGCGCGCAACTAGTTCATTATATAATATTTTAAGAAAGTTTTATCTTATTTTATTCTCAGCTGTAAAAATTATCCGCAATACAAAATCGCATTTATATTGAGTATCTATCTTTGTCAGTGCACGTTGCCAGTTATTACACATGGATCTGAGACGTGGTATTTACTGCTGGCCATATGAACTAATCAAGGTCGTTCAGAGAGCTACGGAGAGAGTTATGCTCAGGGTTTCTCTGCATGATAGACTTAAAAATGAGGATACCCGCAGTGGAAACAGAGTAACCAACATACCACAATGGGTTAGTAAGCTGAATATAACTGCATATGGTTAGAAGAACCAGAAACCGATGGGGAATGGAGGTGATCGATTGGTCTCGTACTGGTAAACGAAGTGTTGGACGGCCCACTACTACATGGAGTGACGACCTGGTAAGAAAAAGAAATCGACGGATGTTAATTGCTCAGGAACGTGCTTTGTTGAGAAAAGCCTATGATCAACAGTGGACTTGTTAATGGCTGTAATAATAAGTTTTCCTTTTAAAATTTTATTGCTAACGATAAATTTCAATAGAACCGTAAAATTTTTGGTGTTGTAGGGTCTCGTTGCAGCTATATTGCAGTTGTAGCACGAATGTGTCAGCACAACCGGGGCAGTATCTCGCTCTCATGGAGAACCACCGTGATATAGCAGCTTAATGCTGCTTTGTTTCGTATGGTGAGTGTCTCTACACTCACCATCACCGGAGACCCTTTTTACTAGAAACAGGGCATTCCCTCGTAGTGAGATCGCTAGATGCGTTGCATTTTGTTTCTTAATCGAAGACAAATTTAGATGTCAATAGACTACAGTATCCATATACAAGCCGGTTGACTGTGTGCCCGTTTATCATTCTGTAAAAAAATGTTACTTAGGACATTATAGGGATTTAGGATGTAATAAATTAACTTCCGCGTCCGATTGTGCGGCGCCGCCATTGTGGCGCGGTGGATATCGATCCAATTTACATGGAAGCTGTCGACGAGATAATTGTGTCTCTTTAAATAAGCATCCGATTATAATAAATAAATTTTGCATTAAAAATATTCGGAATTGCATACATTTACCACTGGGCGTGCTGTAAGAAATTGTTGCAATTAATTCCAGCTGCCAAATTTTACGAATGCACATCATGAAAAAACTCACGATACTATCCACACTATCTGGATGCTTGGTGGTCCACCACTGTGCGTTTTACTAGGAGTTTTCTTCCTCGTACAACCTTTATGTGGAATTATTTTCTACCGGCGATTTTTCTGTACCGGTATAACATCGAGACCTTCAGTGAAAGAGCTTACTTCATTCTAAAAGACCGACAACGCATCAGCTATTCTTCTGGTATTGCAGTTGCTGATTGGCGGTGGTAGTTATTTAGCGACTTCAAATCTTTTAACACCCAATTACATGAGTTGTACTTAATTTTCAAAGCGAACTCCTATATACAGTCAAATTATAGATTTCTGTTCTAATAATTAGATTAATTATAAATTCACTGTCACCTTAGCCATATGAGGCCGGGATAAAATTTATGAAATCCTTACTTAATAAAGATTTTTATATTACTAAGTTGACCCATGAGTTATTTATACTGTATTGGTTCATGAATGCATTCTTAACTCTCGACCTTTGCATGCCATTTTAGACACGACTGATGACTTTACTTGTTTAACTCCTCACTTTTTAATTGGACATCATGTGACAGACATACCAGAGCCTAATGTTTTAAATTTAAATGAGTCTAAACTAACTACATATCAAAGAATTATTCAAATAAAACAAAGATTTTGGAGACATATTTATTCTAATTATATGTCTGAATTGCAACCTAAAAATAAATGGCTCCAAGCACAAAATAACTTAAATGTTGAAGATTTTGTAATTTTCAAAAATGAATCTACACCCTCCACATTTTGGCCCTTGGGCAGAGCTATTTCTACAAATAAAAACAAGAATTATTTTACTATATTTAAGAAAAGTGAGTAGAAGTTCGTTAAGTAAAGAGGGAAGCAGATATTCCCATGTGCACTTGCCATGAATATTTTTGTAAGTTGTAAGCTTAAATGTTGGTAAGCTGTTCAACTTAAGTAGGGTTTGTGGTCTACTATATTTTTTTAATTTACTCAACTGTTCTCACTCTTCACATAGGACTTCCAATTTAATTTTTTTATATACATTTACTGTTCTGCAATATTTAAAATCTGCGTTCGATCCGCGTATCAAGCAGGATTAAGACAAATCGTTCCTATAACGGGACAGGCCCGTGCCCAGCTTTGGACTGTTGCGAGCTGTATATTTATAATATCATGTCAAATATTGTGTCTCATGTTTTAAAATAAGCCAAAATCAAATATTGATTTGACTATTTACAACAGCACATATTTTTATGGACACTGGCAGCTGAAAATAACTTTAACTCTAAATTTAGCCCAAAACTACCTATCACTTTTTTATAATTTTCTTTCCAAACCCATACTTTTGCTCCTTTTTGGACTCTGTTTACCCCTTGGCTGTTACATAGTGTGAGGCTATGTATGTTCAGATTTTAATATAAATGTTTCCCTTATGTACAGATCGTGCT